ATCTATCTATCTATCTATCTATCTATCTATCTATCTATCTATCTATCTATCTATCTATCTATCTATCTATCTATCTATCTATCTATCTATCTATCTATCACATTTAAAATACAATGTGCATTTTTACTTTGCCCATCTGTTCAAACAGCTTCATTATTTAAATGTACATTAAAAACAGCGTTTTTCCTGTAAATGTAACTGAAACATCACTGACTTTATGGTGAGCTGAGTGTCTCTGGTGGTACAGAATAAAGAGAGGCACTAAAGACACTGCCCTGCAGTTGTCTTTTCTTTTTTCTGTTTTTTATTGCTGGGGAGAATAGGCGCTGTGTTTTTCCACACCTCTGCATACTATTCCACAGAAATCCCCAGAGAAACAGCTCAATCTCTCGTTTGACGGACAGCTGTAGCTCGTCTCTTGTGAAAAGTGAATTTATTTGACCACTTCTGCTGCCTGTATTTTGGGGGAGAACAAGGGGAACTATACTGGGTCATACTAGGAATGCATATAAAAATGTTTTGAGCTCATCACTTCTCTGTGAAGCTCGAATGTAGCTGCCTCACTCCCTCACTCCCATCTAACTCCTGCTCTGTTACATTTAAGAATCTCATTTGGTCTTCACAGCTGCTTTCACTATGACAGCGTTTGACTTCTCGGATATAGAGGCGTTTTTGGATTGCCACCCGGATCTGTTCGAGGAGTATCTCGTTCGGAAAGCCAAATGTGACCAGGTTAGCAGGTGGTTGAAGGAGCATCAGCCGTCGAAAGTGTCCTCTGTCGAGGAGAAGCGGGGCGCTGCCATGGACCCACTGTGGCCGACCAGTGCTGACGGACTCCGGCGCAGATCGTCCCACATGGAGCTGCGACGGAACTTTGCTCGGTCCAAAGCCACCACTGCACACTGGACATACGACGAGCACGTGAGTTTGAGCGAGCACGAGTCCCAGTCCAGCATGAGGCGCCGTGCGCTCCTGCGTAAAGCCAGTTCACTGCCTCCCACTACCGCGCACATCCTGAGCGCCCTGCTGGAGTCCAGGGTCAATGTGCCTCAGTACGCATCCAGCGCCATTGACTATAAATACAGACTTAAAGAAACCAACGAGAGGGAGTTTTTCTTAGAGCTCGTGAAAGATATCTCCAACGAGTTGGACTTAACAAATCTGAGTTATAAAATCCTGATCAATGTCTGCATTCTTGTGGATGCAGACAGGTGTTCGCTTTTCCTCGTTGAAGGACCCCCTCACAAGAGGACTCTGGTTTCCAAGTTCTTTGATGTGCATTCAGGCACTACAGTCAGACCATCATCTAGCACTCTTAACTCCAATGAAGTGCAAGTGCCATGGGGGAAAGGTATCATTGGATATGTGGCGGAGCACGGGGAGACTGTAAACATCTCAAACGCATATGAGGTAAAGTGTACACCGTTATGATCAATATAATTTGTATTCTTAATTTATGTGCGTCCATTTAAGCTGGCGGATATCAGTACATGATGATGTCGGTTATTGGACCCGAGTTTTGTAGTAGTAAAAGAAAAATTTCTGCAATACACATCAGGTTTCAGGTCCACCTTCAGCTACATTTCCAAGTTAAAAGCATCCACAAATGTATGTCTTTTTCAAAGTAATGGGACTTTTTTTGTTTTGGGTGTTGGGTATTCAGGTGTTGGCAAAACTATCCCACTCCTCAGAACTTCAACTGCGCACGTCGTTCCGAATACGAAATGCAGGTTACGAAATACAAAAATACAAAAAATACAATAGTCAAAGAAAAGGAAAACCAATCACTATATTTTTTCCCCACAAACTAAATCTGGTATTATATGCTAGACTTGAGCACCACATCATTATATCATCGCCCTGGGCTGCTTGGGAAACTAAGGAAACATGCGATCTACTACTCCAGCAGCATAGGTACGTGCCAGTGAGGGGTACAAGAGTTTCTCTGCTTATAGTAAAAACAGTTTCAACCAACAGAGACTCAAATTTACAAGCCCAAGAGTCAGACCTAAACGCTGCGGATGCTTTATCATAGGCTTTACGAGACAAACGCGCATATGGTGAAGGAATGTAGAGCTGGGATGTGTGTGTGTGTGTGTGTGTTTTTTAATGTGGACTCCTGTCAATAAATATGTAATAGCCTGTATGTTTATATAACCACAATTCCAGGATCACCGCTTCAGTGATGAGATTGACAAGCTGACCGGGTACAAGACTCAGTCCATCCTCTGTATGGCCATCTGCAACAGTGATGGAGAAGTCATAGGTGTTGTACAAGCTATTAACAAAAATCCAATCGGCACCCCATTTACTGAGGATGACGAGAAGGTGAGGCTCTGTTATGCTGAAGAGAAGAAAATCATTCGCCTGTCGTACCAGCGGGCTTCACATTCATATTCATCTTCTTCAATATTACTTATCGCGCCATTAAGGGCATTTAACGAGGGAGTTAAATTTAACTGGTGCATCGTCTACCCCACCACCCAACACTAACACTTGCCATGCAACTGGAAATATTGTTTGTAATTTGCATCTTAATGGCTGCGGAGAGGGGTAAAGTGTTCCCTTGGAATCAAAACACAAGAAAATGGAAGAGAAGAGGTCAAGCTTTTACTCAAGCGTGGAGCATTAAATACGTTCGCCTGTGCATACACACAGTAAGAAAAGTGTTACTTTCAGTTGCTCCCTGTTCCAGTTGAAATGGGCTTACTAGAATATATGTGTGTTATAGCTTCATTTACGGCTCCGCTGCTTATGAGTACAATTTAATTCTCAGAGTTTGCTGACGAGACAATAATATTTCGTACATCCTGGAGATTGGAGGGTTTGGTAAATCAAAAACAAAACAAAAACAAAAAACTGCATCAATGCTGATATTTGCAGTTTGTAAAAATCACAAGTTTGCTTCTGCGTGCAGACCAGTTGCACTGACAAATTCATCCACAAGGTGGCAGGAAAAACTTGTGGAAATAAATGCATTGTGAATCCGTATAGTATGCTCTAACGCTCAACTTCAAAGAAGCTGTGAGAGATTTAAGCTTCTTTTTCAAGTGTATATAAAACAAAGCACTAAATATAACTTTGGCAGAGCAACCTCAGAAACTATTTTTCAGCAACAAAGACTGTAAAAATAGGGAGGAGAAAAAGCTTCATCCGGCAGCTTGTCCAGACATTTTAAGGCCTTTGATGTCTTACTAAGTCTCTTTCTCTGAATCAGTACTTCATTAACAGCAAATCTATTTGAGAGAAATTTGCACTGAGAAGCAGCTGACTCCATCATGATCTTTGTATGCGCATTTACTCTTTCTGGTTCTCTTATTCGGCTTTATGTCATTATTAGCATGCAGACATTGTGCATGCCTTTCTCCACTTCTTTGTGTTTTCATTCAGGTGCTGCAGATGTATCTACCATTCTGTGGAATATCGATTTCCAATGCTAAGTTGTTTTCAGAGTCTCGCAAGGAGTATGAAAGGAGCAGGGTGAGAAATTTTAAACTGTGCTTTTACAAAAACATAACCGAACACAATAATCACTCCAAAACACATTAACATGCTGTATGCTTGCCTTTCACAAGTTAGGCTTACATTAACTTCAGCAGCGTGATATTCTATCAGGAATGTGGAAATATGTTTGTGTAATGAACAAATGAAGTTACGGTGTTTATTGTTGCTGCTACAGGCTTTGCTGGAGGTGGTCAATGACCTGTTTGAGGAACAGACCGACCTGGAAAAGATTGTCAGGAAGATCATGCAGCGAGCGCTGACTCTGCTGCAGTGTGAACGTTGCTCTGTGCTTCTTCTGGAGGACATTGACTCACCTGTGAGACCTTTCTTTTCCCATTTCCTCACAGATTCATCTGCTGCTTGATTTTCAGTGTATAACTAAACCAAAGTCATTATAACCTTTTTTTTTTTTTAATTTGCTGAATGACTTTATTTCTGATTGCAGTGATATATGATTTTTCTCATAGGTTGTGAAGTTCTCAAAGACATTTGAACTCATGTCTCCTTTGTGCAATGTGGACCGTGACATCAGGTTAAGGAGATTTTGCTCATAGATCACTACTGCAGAATTACAATAAACACAAACATGATTAACATTAAAAGAAGACTTGCATTTCACTGTGATAAAATTTGTAGTCAGTGTTTCTGTATATTAATGTTTGACTGTTGCTTCCTCTTTGTAATAGTGCCCACATCAGCATGGAGAAGTTATCCTGTTCTGACTGGCTAATCAATAACAGTATTGCTGAGCTGGTGGCTTCAACAGGACTGCCTGTTAACATCAGTGATGTGTGCCAGGACCCACGCTTTGATGCTGAGGTATACACAGTGTAGTGTATTTATCAGATCTGAGGCTTTTATTTAAAAAACAGTCAGATAATATGAGTCATTTGCACCGTTGTTATCACTGCAAGAATATCAGTCCCCCCCCCCCCCAAAAAAAAAAAGTAAAAAATGGCTTCTCTCTTTGCAGGCAGATCAAGCTTCAGGGTTTCATATCAGATCAGTGTTATGTGTTCCTATCTGGAATCGAACTCATCAGATAATTGGTAAGTGAACCAGAAAATAATCAGTTTTGTTTCACTGGAAACGAGTCCTCATGTTATAGTCATGATTTATGTATATTTTCCACAGGGGTTGCACAAATTCTGAACCGCCTGGACAGGAAGACCTTCGATGATGCAGATCAGAGGCTATTTGAGGTTAAGCTACACTAGCAACCTTCTGTTTGGTCTGCACTGTGACACTGTAGATCCGCAGGTTCTTTTCATGTTTCATATTTTTCCTCTGGCCTGTTGTTTGTGTGCAGGCATTTGTGATATTCTGTGGCCTTGGAATCAACAACACAATGATGTACAATCAAGTTAAGAAGACATGGGCTAAACAGTCTGTAGCACTGGATGTAAGCCTGTTCTTCTATCCATCACTCTATGTCTCTCTGGAGGATAAAAGATATTTATGTATCTTTTTCTATACAATAATTTCTTTTTTTTTGTCATGTGCCAGTTTTCTTTTATGGTAAATGGCCTGTATTTGTACAGCGCTTTACTTTATGTTTTCTTTTATGTTTTGATGATTCCATGTAATCCATCCATCCATTTTCTTAACCAGTTCTCTAACTAGGGTTGCAGAGGAGCTGAAGCCTTTCTAGTTGACACAGGAGAGTGGTGGTTTACACAAGTTACCAGTCTATCAAATGGGTAGTATAATCTGATATCAATTCAAATCAATTTTATTTATATAGTGCAAGTTCACAACTATAGTTGCATCAAAGTAAGAGTAAAGACCCAACAAAATTAGAAAGCAAACCCCATCAATCACACAACCCTAAATAAGGAAGCATTTTATAAGAGTACGAAGGAAAAAGGGAGCCTGAAAGCTGAAGGTTCTGCCTACCATTCTACTTTTAGAAACTCTACAAATAAAAAGTAGGCCAGCAGCCTGATAGAAAGGTGAGCTGTTAGGAAAATATGGTACTGTAATTTGATGTATATTTACTACTACCTTCTATTTACATTTACCTGATTACTTTGTATGTAAGGAAATTTATTTTTAATTCTATTCTAAATTTAACAGTGAGCCAGTGAAGAGAAACTAATATGGGAGATATATGATCTCTCTTTCTGGTCCCTGTCGGTACTCTTGTTTTGGATCAACTGAAGGTTTTTCAGGGAGCTTTTAGAGTGCCCTGAAAATAATGAATTACAAGAGTAATAGTATTAGATAAGTGCATGAAGTAGCTTTTCAGCATCACTTTGAAACAGAATATTGCTAATTTTAGAGATTCAGGACAGTGTGAATGAGTAAATAAAGCTGAGTGTCATCTGCATAGCAATGGAAATATCTGTAATGTCTTCTAAATATACAGCCTAAGGGAAGCATGTAAAATATTAAAAGTATTGATACCAGCATGCAACGCTGTGGAGCTCCATGACTAACTTTTATGTGTAACTCTCCATTTACACACACAAATTGGAATCTATCAGATAGAGTTGCGCTATTGCAGAGCTGGATTCCTTTAATACTTTCAGTGTGTTCTGATCTCTGCAGTAAAATACTATGGTCAATGGTATCAATAACAATATAAGCTGTAGCAATAATCCAATCAACTCTTATTCATAAATGGGTCTATATTTATTGTGGGGAAAAAGCAAACGTCAATAAACTTAATGCTAAATCTTACAATTCCAAAACTGTAAGATATTACAAATTACTAAGCAATTTGGGAGCAGTATTAGAAATATGTGGTATATACGGGAAAAAATAATAATTTTCAGTGACACTACTCTGAAATGAAAACATATTTTAGGACACACGGTAAAATGAATTCAAACTACCTGTATGAGAAATTATCGATTCCAGAAAAATGCTGTGTCACCACTGTTACTGCTAATCTTAGCAGAGGCTCTTTACATTCATTGGTGTCTCAGTCTGCGTTCTGTTCCAGTGCCCAGTATCTAACCTGAGCAGTCACATTATCCTCAGAAAACATGATTCCTCTTCTTTACCATAAATATTTTAGTTGCTTTTAAATTATTAATGATAAATACACGTGCAGGTCTGCTCAGTTTTCATCAAGGACAACAAACACAGCTGTATTTCTGTCACACAATCTTTGATGTTTCTTTCATCACCTGATGGATTTTTTCGTGATTAGAGACGCCAAAATATAGCAACAAATTGGCTTTAAAAGCAGATACATATTTACTTTGATCTGATTACATAGGACAGTGAACACAGATAAAAAACATCAACACTCTTGGTAAATATTAATTATCTTGTTTAGCAGTGAGTGTACATTAGAGAGCTAGTCTTATGTTATTTAGGCCATCCCCTCATGACATCACCTCACTATCTGGGACAGTTTTTTTTTTTAATACATCAGTGTTTTGCATTATTTTCTGTTTTTCAGATGTTGTCCTATCACGCTACCTGCTCCAAGGTGGAAGTTGACAGACTGAAGGTAATCCTCAGAACTAATCAAACAAAAACATTATATAATGCATAAAGACACTATACCAACATCAGGAAAATAGTGAAATGTGTCAGTAGATAAAGGTGCAACGTAAACTGGAAGGCTGTTTGCCTATGCTGTCATCCTTCAGTGGCACTCTGTGACTGACAGCACTGTCCTCTCCCCCTAAGGCTGCCAAGATCCCCCTGAGCAGTGAGTTAGGCATTGATGAGTTTCACTTCAACGACTTTTCATTGGACAACGACGCCATGATCACGGCTTCTCTCAGGATGTTTCTGGAACTTGGTGTTGTCCAAAAGTTTAAAATTGACTATGAGGTAAGGCCATGAAATGTGCCCTGTAATATGCATGTTTATCCATCCATACATAAACATGATCATACCTTCTGTATATCTGTCTGTAGGTTTTGTGCCGCTGGCTTCTGACTGTGAGGAAGAACTATCGAACTGTGGCATACCATAACTGGAGGCATGCTTTCAATGTGTCGCAGTGCATGTTCGTTATGATCACGGTAAATTTTAACATAGAGCAAAAAAAGTCAGATGTATATCTTACAGAAGCAATGATGTAAAGTTGTTTTGCATGCCCACAAATAGATAGATCTATGGAATAAACTATATAAAAATTTCTAAGAGGTATATCCAAGGTATTTCTAAGAAGTCATATGGTGGTGGATTTGGTCTCTTATTGCTTAGGGTTGCTTCTATGTCCTATCCTATCCTAACTGATGCAAAATATCCTATAAAAGTACATTAAATATTTAGTTAAAATAAATGAAACAGAATAGATTTAAAATTACTTGGTAAGAATGTGGCCATCTGCTTTGCATTGTGTAGACAGCAAGTTTCCAGGATGTCCTGTCAGATGCAGAGATATTGGCACTGATGGTTGGCTGTTTGTGCCATGACTTAGACCACAGAGGCACCAACAATGCATTTCAAGCTAAGTACGCCACAGAGGCCTGTGGATTTTGGAACTGGTGTCTTGTTGATGCAGAGAAGTGTAACTACTCTGTTGTTCCTGCAGGACAGGTTCTGCTCTGGCCCTGCTTTACGGGACATCAGCCACCCTGGAGCATCATCACTTCAACCATGCAGTCATGATCCTGCAAAGTGAGGTCAGGCTAATATTTTTTATATTTTTTGATAAAGTCCATGTAATTCTTATGTTTTTGCAGAGGTTTCTTTTTTCTCTTAGTAGTTTGCTTTCCATGTTCAAGGTTCTGTAACTTCCAACTGATAAAAGAAAATAATATTTACTTAATCCTTAATGAAATCTTGATGATTAATTTGAGTAAATAACGTCATATGGTGTCAGTTAGATAGATAAATTAATATTTTTTTCTTTATTTTCTTATAGATAGTGGTTTGAATATGAAACGAAAATACCAGAGTCAAAAAAAAAATTAAATCAAGGACAGACATTGGTGTATTTTTGAAATCTTATTTAATCAGCTCAATTGTGGATCAGTAATACATGCTATGGCCTGAGGCTAGTCGGCAATTTCTGTCCCTTTAGATTAAACTAAACATCAGCTCAGCAAGAAAACACATTCAAAATAACAGAAAACACAAATGCACAGACTTCATTCAATTTAAAAGTGTTGGACTGAGACCATTAGGCTAACAGAAAGCCACTGTTTAAAGAGTTCGAGTAAAGTCGAGAGGCTGCTTTGTCTCAGGTGAAAATCAGTTTGATCATTGGGATCCGTGTTTTTTTATCGATTTCTTTTAGCAGCGGACAGAGAAAGTCCAAACACGCTGCTAATTAACATTTCTAAAGGGAGCTTCTTTTGACAGTGAGCAATGACTTTACCGGTGCATTGGATTTAAGGAGACATTTTAGCCACTATTACTCATCCTCGTCTGCTTTTGCGTGTGTACCCACTGTATTGCATGCTATTGTGTTTTTATTTCACAGGGTCACAATATCTTTGCAAACCTAAGCTCTAAAGAGTACAGCAACATGATGCAACTATTGAAGCAGGCTATTCTCTCCACAGACCTTACTTTGCACTTTGAGTAAGTGTTGCTTTTTTTTCCTCACGGCATTCAAGGCCAAAATAGTTTGTGACTTGTAAACTTACATACATCATTATAAATTATTGGATGTATTACCATATTCTGAACAATAATTTTCACATTTTTTTGTCATTGCAAAGCTCTTCCACTTGGGTGGTTACCAAGATGGGGAGGGGGACAAATTGTGCTTCAACTTTTTTTTCTGTCCTTGATTATCTCTTTTAATTGCAAGGCGCAGAACCAAGTTTTTTGAATATGTTCTGTCTGGAGAGTTCAGCTGGACTGATGAAGGACACAGAGAAGTTCTCAGGTTTCTACATTTATATACAAATAAATCAAAAATAACACAAACTATAACTGAATTTAAAAAAAAGAGATGGAAATGGGCTTTAATGTCATCAACAGGTCTATGTTGATGACAGCATGCGATCTGGGTGCAGTCACTCGTCCCTGGAAGATATCCAAACAGGTTTGAGCCTTTCACTATCCCTTCATCCAGGCTGCTAATGTTTTAATCACTGATAGTAATTATTAACGCAGCTGCTCTTGCTATGTATGGGTCCGAATGGCCGGAAAGGATGCTAGGTTGTGTACATGACCTTATACACCAGGGCATTGTGATATTGTTAGAAGCTGCATTTATAATAATCCTTATTGTGATACATCTTCTTTTTCCCCAATATATGCTAAGAAGTACATAATTGGAATACAACCAAAGAAGGTCTTTTCCATACACTCCGGAATATGCACTTGCTTCCTAGTGGCCCTGAGCCATGGCTATATTAAGAGGATTCTTATAATATATCCATGTCATGAATATGTTACAGGTACAGGACACTGGAGGATAGATTAGATTAAAAAATCCATCTAAGGTAGTGCCACAAACATCGCTTCAGTTTCTTTGGGACTTTTCCAAAAAGAGCATAAGGGCACTTCCTAAAGGCCATTTAAAAAGTTTTTTTTGCATCCTTGACCCATACAGTTGTTCTATCTAGGTCAAGGATGCATGTTTCCTAGAGCTTTCTCATTAAATTAAATTAGCTCACTAATCCATTTACTTAATTTTACTTGGACACAAACACTCATTTGATTTTTTTTTATACACAACCAAATCATATTTCCAAAGCTTAGTTTACAGTCCTGTCATGGCCCAGGACCATGACAAGTCCTGTGCATGTGTTTTTTTTTTCTAAAATAATGCATGTGATGCGTTAGCATGACCCATAATAGTACCATACTAATAGAAAGATAATTGTTCTTCTCATTTAATTTAAATTAAAATAAGGACAAAATAACAAAGTACGTTTAAGCCATTATTAACAGCAAACTGGTACATCATTTTTAGAGTTAACTAATTTGTTTCCCTCGATCTGCACAGGTTGCAGAGCTGGTTACAAGTGAATTCTTCGAGCAAGGTGATAGGGAGCGGTCAGAGCTTAAGTTAATCCCAGCAGTAAGTAAGGAAGCTTTAAAAGTCAGTCACACAATTTTCCACAATTTTCTTAATATAACTAGATCTCTCTCTAGGCAATCTTTGACCGCAATCGCAAAGATGAACTACCTGCCTTACAGCTTGAATGGATTGATGGGATCTGTAAACCTCTTTACCAGGTCAGACAACCCTTTATGATTTAAGTTAAGCATTTAGGTCTTATGAAAAGGTAATAGTAATTAAACTATTAATATCATTCTTTCTCTCCAGGCACTGCTGAAACTCAACAGAAAGTTACAGCCAATGATGGATGGCATCGATGCCAATCGAAAGAAATGGCAGGATCTCTGCTCATCCTATCAGCAGACACGCAGAGCTTCGGTGTCTAATCAGAGTACAGAATCAGGTCAGAACACTGAGTCAGGTGAAGAAGATGGAGAAAACAATGAAAACCTAGAGTCTAGAGAAACTGCGAAGCCAGTCGAAAACTCACTGTTTGGGTCAAAGTGCAGTTAGGATCAAAGATGCAGAGAAAACAAGGAGATGGAAACATAGCATCTGCAGGAAAGAAGTAAAATAAGCTAAGTGTTTGGCAAGCTTTGCATTAAGTTGAAAACATTCAAATGTCCTCTGATTTGATGAGAAATGCACTACCCACTATTGGTAAATGAAAAGCAGCTTTCATCTGCTAGGTGTCCCAAGCACTACGTTAAACTCAGGACTGAGCTTTATCCCTACTGGTCAGACTCCCTCAGACCTCCCTCAGCTCTCAGATGTAACTGAGAGCTTGTCATGGGATGAATGAGAATTGAATAAGAATGAAGGATGAATAAGAAACCAAAGAAGGTCTCTTAATATTATAATATTTTTAATGGGAACTGTGTTAGAAATCCCAAAACTATTGGAATGCCTTTACAAAACAAAAAAGAATCACTGTGACAAATCATATAAATTGCCATTATGAATGTTTACTGGAGCATGATTGTGTTCTGGATAAGGCTGTGGTACCTCAGTTGCAAGTCTTTGGCCATATGGTGTAATTTTCAGTGTTTGTGGGTTAATTGAACTGTTTGGCCAGCCGCTTGTTGTGTGCAACACGTGTATTTTCTGGGGGAAAACAGGCAGATATGCGTCAAAGACTCAAACAAGAGGTCAGGGTTAAAATTTAAAGTCTGCTGGCTTGTTGTATGCACGTGTCTCTCTGTGTGTGTGAGTCTGTGTTATATCATGGTTAGGTAGTTATTTAATGGGTCTTAAAATAATTTATTGCAGCGGGATAGTTTAATTTCCAGTCCCATAAAATGTTTAATGAATGCTCACTTGATTGAGAAAAATACATGAATGCCTATAAGTCCATGTCCATGTGTTCAGTTCAGTGTTAGATCTACTTTCTCTTTACATGTGCCCCAACTGTATGCTACTAATTTTATTGTTTACTGTCTTTAAACTACACACAGTGGGATGAGTTTGTCTTACTCTCGCTAAAAAAGAAGACTCCTCAGTGCCCGTACTATGGCCTTTACAAGATTTCGGTGTTGTACATATAAAATATGGAAAAATATCCAACTGGAAGTTTCATAAAGCAGATTGTGTACATACAGTATATACGGTGCCATGAAAAGTATTTTCCCCCTTACTGATTTCTAAGCTTTGTGTATTTTTGTCACACTTACATGTTTCAGATAATCAAAGAAATGATAAATGATGACTTCATTTATTAAGGAAAAAAGCCCACCAAACCTAATCTATGTGAAGTCATGGCCTGCCTCATTGAAAATAATGAAAATCATGAAAATAATTTGATTAACCGCATTTTCATATAAAAGAAAAAAGCTGAGTCCAGTTTCATGAGCTAAACCCAGAACTGATTACCAGACCTGTTGAATCAAGGAATCACTTAAATGGAACCTATTTGACAAAGTGAAGTAGGTTAA